CTGATATCTTGAGTCATTCTGTAATAATCTACCAAATGGCTTTATCATATTTTCATAGTGCTTCTTGTAGAGTACTACTAGACCCATTGTAGCATACTTTCGTTGGATTTGAGGACAATTTCTAAAAGTTTTCCTGGTAAAAAATAGCTATGCATGTGGTAGCAATGCAACATTGGTAAACTTCAGGTAAGTGAATTGACTTTCGAATTTATCCTAGGCCATTTCTTTATAAATAGAAAAAAAACACTTCCGCAACACTATAATCTCTTAAAATCAGGTTTTATTTATCATTAAAAATAGCATGCAAGATATTTTTCCTTTTCCAGAAGAATTTGTCCCAAAAAAGAAACTTCCCGTCTTAGGTGCAGCACTGTTATCTGCTTTCATTCAGGATATGACATCATTATTCACTAAACGATTTAAGTTAGAAGTGCAGGAAGAAGTATGAGTGGAAAAAGAGATAGAATATGAACCGAAGGAAAAGTAGACAACAGAACAAATACGGCTATAGTTTAAGAATAAGCACTCTCTGTTTAACATTAAATGCCCTATAGGAAATACCGGTTGTCAGAGTATTTTTTTTTTTTGAGGTATGCAATTATTTTAGACGAAAATCGAACTGATAGCTGTGTTCTGCATAATTTCCACATATTCTAAAATCAAGCTTTCCAATCTTACTAACATTTAACATCAAGTAGATCACAGCCATTCCGAGTTACTTGTCTCCATTGTGAATTGTTACATTCAGTGTTATATTTCATATTATAAAGGCTTTACAAAAATCTGTTTCTCAGAGATTTTCTAATATTTATGCTATAATATCTCATTTTGAAAGCAATTTATATATATATATATATATATATATATTCCACTTTTTGCCTTCGTTATTTTTTCTCATCTTAATCTTTCTTTATGCTGCTACCTTCCATTTTCTTCACTGAATGTATACGAAATCATATTACACGAGCTGATTTTTAACTTCTTAACATTTCTTACGATAAAGCACAAGTTTTTTTTTGAGGTAAAATCTAATGTGCAATTCAAAATCAATGACACACAATTCAGCCAATAAATCCATCCCCAAATCCATCCGATGACATTTTTTCCATAGTTTATACAATGATCAGACTTGGACCATGAAGTTCTCTGAAGAAGAGTGAACCAAGAAAACAATTTGTTAGGAATAAAGCTCGACAATGATTGGAAAATACGAGCATTAAATTGATGGAACAGATTTTGGACGAAAACGCAGAAGCGTAACTATTACCATAAACTATGATAAATCTTTTTTAATACACTTTTTGCATGGTGAAATCACTGATATTTTATTTAATATATGAAATTAGTTTCTGTATGTGTTCGAAATAAAAAAAAAAGGAAAAAACACTCGAAACAAAATCGAAATATTTACAAAAGCACAAATAACAGACAATTGATGAATGAACGAGGCTGGTATGTATATTCACTGTTATCTAAGAAATTTGTTCCTTTATAAACTTGCTATTTAAAATAAGGATGAGAAAAGAGAAAGTTTTCATAACGAAAATGTTTTCCGTCGTTAATGATTTGGATTAGGGCCAGCAACATCACTACGAAGTACTGTCATTTTTCCAAGGGGTGCTCAAGGCCACCGAACATAAAATATGCTTGATGAATCATAGTGCTCTAAACCACCTGGCCATTATTACTATCTCCTAACACCTCCCTATTTTTTGGTTACTTTAGAAATTTCCGATTATTTTTTATATCACATTCGGAATCACTCCGCTATCTCTTGCTCCGTGATTTGCAGTCATTTACGTATTTTTAATCTACCACCAGCTAATTTTTTATCTCTCTCTCTCGAGACTAACTTGTACGGTCACAGAATAATGAAAAAGCAAGCAGTATGCAATATTATGCGAAACTTTTGAATTTCCACTTTGAAATGGATATCTGATGGAGCACCTACATTATCATGAGAGATCTCATTTTCCCATCTCCGCTTCTCCCCGATTCCTCTTTGCTCCTGGTGCTGTCGGTGTAGACCGGATGGCTCATTCTTTTCCAAAATATTACGCGTCTGCCTGCTCTCTGGAACTTTTTTTAGCAAGGTAACATCAACTGCAACAGCGTATCATTAGTCACTGGGAATGCAACGGATCACCTGGGACAACCATCGAGCAATCTCCCCACCCTCCATGCGCATACGCACTGCATGTCGCCTGCGCATGACAATAGCAACAGCAGTTGCGACGTTGACGTTGTCACCCGCGTCGTCTTCAGCAGTGTCGCAGTTAGTGCCGTCCCTTTCACCTACTACTGCTGTTGTGTGCAGCTCCGATTTATCTATTTTGCTGTTTTAGTTGCTGTATGGCTGCTCGAATGATGTTTGCTCACTAGGTGTCAAGCATTCTTCGTTTGTAGTATATTTTATTGTTGTTACTGTCGTAGATTTGCTAACTTATCTTTCACCGCATTTTGCTTTTCCGTCATTCTTATTTCCTTTCATTATCCATGCATTATTGTATGCGTGGATTTTTCATTCGATTAACTTTGTTTAACTTCATCCTATATTACTTTACCTGTCTGGTACTTTTTACTTACAGGTTATTGTACTGATTATGGAGATGATCCAACCTTTCCGTAGAGATGTTGACTTTCCAATAGCAAATTAAGAATGATGCAGTCATAATGTCCTTGGAAATTAATGGAAATAGCGGGGATACTCGTGAAAAAAATTTGAAATTAAGGTAATTACCGAGACAATTTGTCGATAGGTCAGAAACTTCAGTTGGGAAAGTCATTTTTTAGTGTGCACTGAAAGCCAGAATGACGCTTTGATTTACAATTTTTATTTTTGAAGTTAAAGTCATTTTGCTTCGATGGAATTACAGTAAGGTGGAAATAAGTCTTCATTAATTACAAAAGGTTCGAAACCTTTTGAATCATTTCTTAAAATGGTCTGATAATCTGGTTGAGGGGTTGGTAATTGTTTTTTTACTACGTTTATGATTGCGTAGTAAAAAATGATAGTCGATAAAGACATTATAAGGAGTAACAATATCAGCTGTTGACGTAAGTTTATAGTCATAAATAAGAAGGCCAAAAAATAAAATATTCCATGAAGCATATTTTTATCCTCCAAGGACCTTTAGGAATAATAACAAAGTTTTAAGTTTAGCTGTTGACAAAAGTGGTAATACTAATGTTATATCATGTGAACTGTGATAATAGACAAGCTGCTGAAATTAGAAGATATTAGTACCACTTTGGAGCATTCTTAATTGTCTTCACCTATTTACTCTAAATTATCTTATGAATTATTGATCCTTTTGTATTATTTGTTTCCGCATTTAAAGTCCATAACACGTTTTAGAACTTCTGCAATTTCAGTGCAAGAAATAAATAACCCAACTCCGCAGCACCAATCGAAATACTTTTATAGAACAATTTTATTTATAGTTTTCATACATTACAACAACATCAGAAATAATCATACCACCTTATAAGCCGAAATGATCAAAATGAAAAGCGGATTGAAATGCAATCCTCTGTAAAAAGCCGAAAAAAAATAGTTCTCAGAAAATTGCTATTTCTCAACATTTCGATGGATTCAGTTTTTTAAATAATGAAAAATAGAAAAATCTTTTGATGAATACTGGAAGTATATGCGAAAATAGCCTCAGAAGTTCCATTATTTTTTGGTTTTTTAACAAATGGATGCTTTGCTAAAAAGAGTAATTATCGCTAAATCTCATTAGTAACTGACATTCTTATTTGATATAAAAATTAGTTCTTTGAAAGATCCAATATTTTTACTATTGCATAGGCTGTTTTATTGTTTTATTCTCATCAGTATCCCATTATTGTTAGTGCCGACATTCATTCATGTCCTTCTAACATATCGATGAAGCCGTTAAATCAAAAACCGTTGCACTAATTTGCGATCTATCGCATCCAAAAAAAAGAATACAAGTTCTACGCAAGCCATAATTACAACAAATAGAGTAATTAATAAAATATCCTGATTATAGATCTCTATAACATGTCTAAGCGAAGCTGGAAACAAAAATGTCACTTTTAAGCTCCCGAAGATTAGCATTATCATTGTTTGGTAGGAAAAAAAACAAGAGTTATATATCGTATTAGAAGCAAATTCAATATTTAGTATCTTAATTTAATGGGTTATTTATTTAAAAGTTTGAAAATCATTTAATAACGACACTGAAGTATTGCTGCATATGTTTGATACCCATCCAATTTGACCCGATTTCTTTCTTATATATACTTGTTACCACACTGATTGAGAGTAATAACAGGTTAACGCATCGATCATGATGCTGCTGAGTCTGTTGTTCCCTCTACTTTATATGATAGTCATCATTGACACACAGTCGCGAAGTACTGGTGATTTTGCGAGACATGAAAAAGATATCGTGAGTTGAATTAGATCTGATCAAGTCAGTTAAATGCTAGTAAACGAGCAATCGAAAAAACACAACTACTGTTTATTGTACAAGTAAACTGGAAAGAAAAAAAAACATAATTAGAACTATTTCTATTTTATTGTCATAGCAAGAAGCAGAGTGGTGTTCGAAAATATGATACACGCAAGATTTTATTGCTTCAGCCAGATTATTTCTTTGTTAGAATTCAAATTATAAGGATTATATAGTTATTTTTGAATTTTAGGTAAGCAATACAATTTGTTTTAAGTTTAAGATCTACAAACTATTGCCACTTGCTCTATGCACATCCTACCATAATCAGATTCTGTCTGATTGTCGTTTTTGTTGGTTTCTTAGACAATTTGAATTCCTGTTTCAAAATACTTTTTCTGCATTACATAGGGTTTTGTAGATTTGTTTTGTTTGCATTGAATAGCTACTTTGCAAGCATTTTTTTTTAACTTTTTTGTCATACGTCGCATAAACCCTGCGACTTACCTAGAATTATTTTATGTATATTTCAGAAATCAGATAGCATATGATACGCTCACCAAATTTCTTAAGCCCCTAAGTTATTTCTAAAACTGCCATTAATTAAGCGTTGAGCTCAATTTCTTGATCTTGAAAAACCATTTTCTAGTTAATATGATTTTATGATTCATTGGTTCCACAGCTATCTGGATGAAACCAATTGTTATTGGGAATTACTGCTGATGAGGATATGCTAAAACATGAGAAAATATAAGTGAATCAGTTACATTGGTAATAATTCTGAAAACAGGCCACTACATGGTTTCCGTCACTTTTTGGTTTTCAATAAGGATCCCTTACTCGGTCTCGTCATGACATTTATTTATAAATTTGAGTTAAACCAAATAGGTCAGATTAGAAATCTTCCCAAGAGTATCAATCACTAATTGTACATTTCCCATATACAGCCAATGTGAAAAATTATCTTCAAGCTAATCTCTTTTTTTAGATGATGTTTACTAATTAGTACTTCAAATCATTTGAATTACTTTCTCTTGTTATTTGGATTACGATTTAGTTAATAAGAAATTACTTTGAATTTTTCATTTAATTTTAGTAATTATAGAAAGTACGAATTTATATGATTATGATAGCAGCGCTTTAACAGTATTTTATTTTGATAAAGTAGAAAGAGAACTTGGAAGTAAAAACCTTGCAATAATCTTGAAGCAGATTAAGCTGAAAACCACTTTTTAATTATAAGTTCAGGAGATTTATTATATTTCATACACTTCAAATATTTATACTTTACAAATTTACAAAAATGATTCTGTATTGTTTAGTAAGTCTTTTCAAATATCATCAGAAATTGATTAAAAAATTCCTCAAGTATTAGGAATAAATTAAATCATTATTTCAGTCTTATTTTGATTTTAACATCATCATAAAGATAATATATCGGTAGTAAGGATTATCGATTTGATTATTGAAGGATAGTGATCAAAGAATGTCTCATACGCTCATCCATCATGTACGAACCGAAAATGTGCTTCGACGATTTCGGACCATTTTATACAATTTCATGACAAACTGTTGGTATGGTACAGTCGATACGACTGTTCTGGCGGGTCTTCTCTTTTCTTTTCGTCTTTCAATTCTCTGGTATTTTCACATATATATATTTGTCTTTTCGGCGCACAGATTCATATCAATTACAAGGGAAGAATTTTTTTTCCAACCTCGATTTTGAATGGCATTTTCCTCTTCTTTCTTACAACAATCATCTTTTCATTTTCCATGCAAAATACGAATGATTATACATCACCAATCTCTCAGGAATGTTCAAAATTTGTGTTTCTGCCTGTCTAATTATATGTTAAATTCCCATAACATTTTGAAAAATTGTTTGTTGTTAACTTAATTATATAGAATGAAACATTGTAGCTTTCTACATATATTTTCGCTGTTTTCTGAGCACTCTGAAAAAACTGACCCCTTTTTTATACGAATATTCAGAATATTCAGAACTTTTTTATACGAATATTCAGAACATGAATTTGCAGCAAGATTGTGTGTGAAGTACTATAAACTATAATACAAGAACGGAATTAGTACAATATGATCGTATGGTCAGCAAAGAATATCTGTGGAATTACGTATCATTGTATTCCACTTTTCATATGTTACAAATATCCATATTTGTTGCTAATCCACTAAATATACCATCACGTCTTATTGTGAATGTACATATTGATCAGTTCGATAGGGAATGAGTTAATTGTTAGCACTAATATTTGAAACCCATGAATTACTCGAAAATCGAAGTGCAAAAAAAATCAAAGTGTGATTTGTAAAGTTACATCAAATATTACAGCTTCCCTGTGATATATTTGTTGCATTATCGTATTTTTCCTTCATTTTGACTTTCATTTCATTTTCATCGTGATGGATCGAATGTATTTTGTGACTTTAACCTAATTCATTTATATATCTGTACTTTTTCGTCGCGTATAACTTCCTATATTTCTCGGAATCGGAAATGTTTATGAAGTGATTTACGAAAGTTTCATTGCTGTTACTATGGGGTAGATTGTTTTCAAAAATTTTACTATGGTTTTTCAATTTTTAAATCTGGAAATCAACTTCTATCAAGCTACCCATGATTTCTTGACAAGTATGGTTAACTTTCCAAATGCTTTACCCTCGCACCATAACAATTGCCGTTTAAAAGCTCCCCTTATCATTCCCGGTTCTTTTGCTATTATTATTTTTTGCCAGTTTAAAGCTAACTTGCTACGTTTCCCGATTTAGTAGAAAGTTCCACATATTCCTATAAAATCTAACTAGGCTTATGTTCTTGACTCGTTCATTTTAGGATACTTTTCCCTCCTCATAACGGGATGTCCGAATGTTTGTTTCTTTCCTATTTCGGTTCATTTATCAGAAATGCTTTACCCTCGCACCATAACAATTGCCTCCTAAACAGAGATTTTATAAAACCCCAATTTCTGCAAGATTGAAAATAGTTCCTGTAATTTATTTTCGGTAAATTTGTAAGCAGATTCCATCACTTCC